GATACCTTCTAAAACTATACTCGGGTAAGGGTGGAAGAAATTATACAATCTAAATCAATACTAGATCAGAATGGGTTAAAATTATATGAAATTATACTCAAGTAATGGAGGACTAAGTTAAACCTTCTAAAATAGTACTCGTGAATGAACGTGAATGAAATTATACTTTCTGAAACTATATTCAAGTATATGCACACTATTGATTCAAGCTGACCGTAATACAAATTGTTCATTTTTTATTTATTGAAAACACTGTAACATTTGGTCGAGATTTTTCCTTGGCTAAGCTGAAGTTGATTTTTCGAAGTCTATAAAAGCAAGCGTTAACGTAGAAAAAAAGTGTATTGATATTTCGTACAGTTACTTCAACCGAAAATAGGAAGTATGAGGTCACATATAGTGTAATGATTTCGGTGATTTTATTGAAATTTTAAAAGTGGGCAGGCTTATTTTTAAAAGCATAATTTGCAAAATAAGTATGTAATCTATATAAAACTCGTGTTATTAAATGTAAACACGCAACTGAACTGTTTTATAGTGCATTTCCAAAGGTCCGGGACAAATACCTCACGATCAATACCCATCCCTGACAATTACCCCCCCCCCCTCAAGTCTACCTATTATACATGCTGGGTTTGTAAAAAAAAAAAAAAAGAACACGACATTCTATAGAATGCCAATAGGGCCTATAACCAACCTGCAGCAAAGAGTTGAAAAAGCGTATTCAATCCAAAAAAATTACTTATCCAAAACTTAACGATTTAACGGTCAGATTTAATGCTAGGAGTGGGGTCGATCTACAGGGGGTTAATGTCCTACACTCGTTTATGGGCTGGGGGTTAAATTAAATGGGGGTAATTGATAAGGGGTAATGTGCTACCCCCACCCCCATATTTCCACATACCTTCACAACTCATATCATGTAACATTTTTAAAAACTCCCCTCTTTCTATAATGACCCAATTTTCCAGTACTAAAACTCACAATTTAAAAACAAATTGTTTTGGAATCACATATTTAAAAACAAATTCGGGTGTATGCGTATTTCTGTATGATCTGATGAATATTCGGTTAACAAAAGATTTGTTTAAGTAGTTTAAGTTCAAACGCTCCCACCTTACAGAAACACAATATCATAACGTTTTAGGCCTTATCATGAAATGCCGTAATGTCAGGGAGCTCACTGGTCAATTGGATGCCCAAAGTACATTTTAAATTATTTGATCATTTCAAGTTATCTGCAAAATTCAATAAGATCATCAGCCAAAGTTAATACGCCTCTCAATGTAAGCATAACAACATCAGTCCCTTCGATATTTCGCATGCATAGCACATCATTGTCTTAATTTTCTACATTATTTGCGCATTTTCGAATGTAAGTTTAACAGAAATCGTAATGCGTATAACGAACTCCTCATTAAAACGAACAAACACCCGAATATAATGTGCTCATTCACATCTATTTAACAGAGAAAGAGAGAATTTTTTAGAAAAAAAAATAACGTCTAAGGTAACATGAAAATAAAACAGTATGTCACATCCGTTTGAAGAGATACATCACGATACAGCGGAGTTACTTAAAGGACATCTAACTCTAATAAAACTGAACTGAATCCAGGTGAACGATTACAAGCCAAAACTTATAAACAGCCGAGCTGTGGTAAAAAAAATGTTTTTTTTTTTCGTGTATTGACAAAGGGATCAATCGATTATCACAGTATGAGCTACACTTGATCCGTTCGTTACAGCATAACGCAAACTAATCCTGCTTAAAATCACTGGCTTTTGCAAAACACCCCTTGACCGTACAAAAGAAAAAACGCGGTCAACGTTTGTATCACGGAGTGGTCAAGTGGTGGCCCATGTGCTGACCAGCGTTACACCTCTAACATCACAGCAACACCACTACACATTAAAATAAAACCACGCGCATGAGAGCATCCAATTATTTCACGAGAACATGCTTAAACTATACACCCTCAGTACACAGAAAGTCGATGTTAAGTTAATTTCATGTTGTGGAAGCACAGCTTTGTATACTTTAGTTGCTAGATTAAGCTCCAGCTGTGGAGTGTGGCGACACACGTGATATATTATATATGTACAGTTGGTAGGCCAATGAGCAACGATCTGTTTGAGAAGGTTCCCCAAGCCAGCAATGATCAGGCAATACACACCGCGCATCTAGAGAGAGGCAACAGGCAAACTAGTTCCCCCGACACTTTACCGTGTGCTTTAAGCACTAATAGCCAACAATAATACAACATATTAGATACATTAATATTGTGAAGCAGTTTAAAAATAAAAGATGACGGACATCGTCATCGGGATCACCCCCCTGAATAGTGTCACCCGGTGCGGTCCGCACCCCCTCCCCCCCCCTCGCTACGCCTCTGACACTTATAAAAATAAGGGTGAGTGGGGTGGTTTTGTGACGATAAATAATATTTTTAAAAAATTACTTTGTGCCTTTTCAAGCACATCATATCCAGACCCAGTTCAATTGAAAATGTTTGACAGAAACTCTTTTTTTCTTAAAATCAGAAAGATGGAAGGGGTTAGACTGAATTTTGACGTCATTTTGAGCAGGGGGTAAAACGTGTTTTTATTTTTTTTGCTGACGACCCCACAATATGAATTCATCAGCACTAAACATGCTCGAAGAACAAAATATAAAACACACAGTTCAAAGAATTATTAAATAAACTGAGCGCAAACAATAAAACAGGATGAGAGAGGAGGTTATTTTTTTTAAGACGGCATGTAGGCAGAGTTTTTTCCAAGCATCTCTTCGGGGGAGAGAAAAAGGCTACGTGTAAAAAGTTGCCAAGTAACACGTAGTGAGCAAAGTAAAGTAAATAAAACAGCAACGGTTAATTTAACACAGAAGGTATCATTTACACTCTGCAATTAGCATACCGCCATTTCTATTAGTCTAAAGTTCACCAGCTTTGATCCAAATGTGTAATTAATGATACATCAAGTGGTGGGCGGGTTACTGAAATGACTGGTTACAAAGACCAACAACCACCGGGTGCGAGTGACAGACGGGTTGTCGCCCCTGCTGCTGGGATGCTCTTTGGGTTTCCTTTGTTATTGGTTCTCAATTTGAGTTAAATGATATTTTTTTTGTAATAATAACATTTTTCCAATTATAATTTTGAGTGCCGTTGGTGGGGCTGCTAGGTTTGAGTAATGCAGCAAATTATTTTCCAGTTGCAATTTTACAGCTTCCCATTGAGACAGTTGAGGCGGGAGAGGAAGGGCGTTGTAATGGCTATTTATCATGTCACCCTGGCCATTCCACCCAAACAAACAAGGATTTAAACAGTCATTGTTGTGGTTTCCTTGTTCCTGTTTTAACAGTATGTTATATCCTAAACAGTGGCGGAATTAGGATAATATGTTCTAGTTAATTAAAAAAATTATATTCCAACAAAAACAATTAGTGTGATTTTAAAATGCACAATGTTATCTCTGTCCCATGTCATGTATTAGTCATTTTGATATATCCCTAATAAGTCTTTGTACCTGTGGTTTACCTAATGATTCTCTGATATTTCTTGATCTAGTGGTGGTTCATGTGTATGAACCATATATATCTCAACCAAAGAAAAGATGTTTAAGATTCTTAGTTTTAAGATGTGCTTTTAAGATAAGAAGCAATATTATCTTTTATATTTTATACAATTTTTATCTGTACCATTGTTCACAGACATTTTGAGGAAACTTGTAACTTACTAAACAAACATTCCATCAGGATTTTTATGGGCAAAGAATTGTTTATTTCTTTTGACAGAATGAATTAGTTGTTTTTCCAAATCTAGTCCTAGTTAATGAAAATATACCAGCAGATTTAATGTTTAACTAAACCTTTTTCTTTATTATTAATTGTATTAGTTGCATGTCAGAGGCGTAGCGATGGGGGGTACATATGTCCCCAGGCGCCGACCTTAGGGGGCGCCAAAATGGGTTGTAAAAACAAATTAAAACGTCATTTTCGCTGTATTTTGGCAGTTTGAGGGGGGGTGCAAATTAAAAATTTGCTCCCGAGGGGGCGCCAAATTGAAAGTTTGTCCCCGGGCGCCGGGAAGGGTCGCTACGCCTCTGTTGCATGTCTATTTCTGCATTTCTCAATAATTGTATCAAGATGCTTTTTGATAAGTGGGTCAAATTATGATAACAGTAGTAATATTTCCAAGAGATTTCTAGGATAGATTGTATTGTTGTTTAATGGACAAGCTGCATCATATCTTGACTGAGAGCTATGATAAGTTTTTCCAGTCATTTTCATAATCTCCACCATTAGCCTTGATTCTTGAGCTTGTTGCTGCCTGATTTTATTTTGTTGGAAGATTAAAGTACCCTCAATGTTTCTTTCTCTTACAGGCATGAAATTTGTCAACACTTCTCATAGAATTTGTTATTTTCACGCTCCTCTATTCTTCAACGTACAATTTACCAGGATTAATCCACTCTATATGATTTCATATAGTCAGTCTTGTCATATGCCAAGTATACTTATAATATGTAACCATGTAACGAATAGGTAGTCTACTAAAGTTAAGTGTGGAGTTATTTAGTAGGAAATAGTGATTTTGATGTGGAAATAGTGGGAGAACTAGGTGTTAGAGCTATATGTCTAGTACTTTGTAAGAAAACAATTTTGTGTTGCATTTTTTTAAAGACTTGACCTTCAATGATGTTAACAATAAAATAGAGGCAAGCTTTTAAGAAATGTTAAAGATCCCTTGTACGCTGTCAAATATTTACATTACCAAGTGTTGTCTCAGCACACTTACAGCACTTGAAAACTCCTGTGGGTGCTCTTGTGTCTGCATGCTGCTATTTACTTTTTAATATAGACTCCAAGGGTAAGTCTTAACATGAGCTCTTTGGTAAAGATTAAAATTCTTCAATAAAAGATTCTTTCTTTTTAAAATCCATTGCTGATGGAGAGGTGAAAAAAAATTAGCATTGTAAAGAAATTGAAATCTTACCTGGATATCTTGAGGTTTAGTTGAGACTTGAGAACGCAATTTCCTTGGCACATGTACGACTCTTTTCCTTTTGATATAAGCCTTCAATCCAGTGATGGGATCCACTGTTTCTATTGGTAGCCCTGCTGCATCAAGCACATTTTCTTCAACCACTTGCTCATCTCCTGCATCATTCAGGTCAACAATCTTTGCTGCAAGAACAATGAATTTTCCTGCTAGTCAAAATTCTACATTACATTATACACCGAAGATACATTTAGAGTTTTATTTATCTGTTATTTCTAACAAAAAATACTAGCGTATACTAGTAAATTTGAAGGTAATACCAAACATTAAGTCAAATAGTATTTAACTTGACTGAATGTTGCGGTTTAATACACCATTTTGAATTTTAAATTTCTGTTATTTAGGCTAGAATAGTGGGACTATGTATATGCCTCATCTATCCAGAACACAATATGGGCACAAAAATACATTTTGATCAGACTAAAATTAGTTATGTCAATCACTAACTCTTGTAAGTACTTACTTAGAAGGTGGGCAAAGAAGGGAAACACTTAGGATTTAATAATGAAGAAACAAAAATACAAAGAGAAACCAAAAGCCTGTTAAGAGAGCTTTGGAAGATTTCACATTGTTCCTTGAAGTATCATCTCAAGTGATCTAGCGAATCTGATGCAGAAATGTCTCACCTTGAAAAAGAGACCCTTCCATACGAACTGGTGACAATTTTAATGTTGTATAGCATTTAGATGTGGGAGCTTTTAACATTTAAAAAGCTTGTTGGCCTATGCTGCCATGCAATTTTTTAAATGGTGCATTTTGTTTTTTTAGAGATTACAAGCCAGAACATCACAGCAATTATAGAGAAAATTTAAGTCATTCATGTCAAATGAATTATATGGATTGTATTGTTAAAGAGTGTGAAACTTGAGTCTCAAATACAAATAATTTAACAAAATAGAAAACATGTGAGGATTAGGGTTTGTCAATAAAGGATTAAATAAACATAAGATGAGGTCACCAAATTACACCTCACCCCTAACCCTTAACATACATGTAAATCTAATTAAACTTGTTTTTTGTTAATTATTTTCATTTTTAAAAACAGAACCAGTAAACTTTGTCACATATATTATGGTTAATATAAGCCTAATACAATGTCTTAGAGCATGTTAAATTAAAAATATTTTATAAGACATAAAGCTTCTGCCTTAGCATATTACCTTTATAGCCCGTTACTCTTAGTGGTTGCTGAGACATGTTAAGGTTGGCGGATTAAAAACTGTATGCTTTGATTATAAATAACATTACAAAATACAAACTTCATCATCATCTTTTTCCTTTGTGCCTCGGCCACCACAAATACAGATTTAAGCACAAGCTAACATCTAGTGCAGCAGTTTGCAATCTACCAGCTATCTAATTGTCCAATGAAAACAACTGATACAGACGAGGGTTGTATAAGATAAATAGCATAAGATGTTAAAAATGAAGTCCTTATAACTACGATAAGTGCTTAAAATTAGAAATTTTATATTGATGACACCACTAGTTTTCCCTCCATATACAATAATAAATCAGCCTTATATTCAAATAGTGCACAGTGGTGGCTTAAAAAAACTTGTGTTTCCATTAAAGTTGAAATGAAAATAAATTTTGTTTGGTAATAATAAATTCATTGTCCAACATGTCTTTTTGGTGGTAAATGTGTGTGCTAGGACTTAAATTAAATTTATTTCAGGCTAGAGAGTGTATAATGCATTCATTTTGTTCAATTAAATAAATAGCTAACAAGAGTCATTCTTCTAAAGCATAACACCTGTCACAAAGCCCCTATGTGTGCATGACTTGGTAATCCTGATGTTACAGCATAAGAAACAAGCCAATGATAATGCAAAATGCATTCAGCTTACAATATTACAGTATCTCATGTTTCATTACATGCACAACTCTGCTGCTTGAAACCTTTATTCTACAATACAATTAAATACCAGTAGCACATACAGTAGAAATAATATACAACCAACTGGATATCCAGGAAGAGTTTATGTGGGTAAATTAGCTAATAGTTGAGTGTGTTTATTTTTATTATTGCAACTGACACATAATGCACATGCATGGTCACCTGAATCTTACAGATTTAATTTATATAGTGGTTCACCAATCGTTTTTAAATTGTGAAACTTAAGGGAAGGTCAATTGGAAATGGAAACAACAACAGATATTTATTAATTGAAATCTGGTTCCATAAAGTTTGGAAAAAAGTAGAGTAACCTTTAGAACCTTATGGTCCAAGGGCCAGGTGAAGTAAAGTTCATGTTTTAGTGACCTTGGTATATGGAGGAATAGTGTGTTCACTATGCCCAACTCCTGTCAGAGCAGAATGGGATCAGTACTTGAGTCTTTCAGGTTAACAGTTGATAGCTCTATTAGACCACGCTGTCACTTAAAAACTTTGGAAACCAATGTTCTAAAGGGTACTTACTTAGGCATATCACCTTCTTTATGTTGTTTATGCTAGTATTAAGATTTATTAAGATGAAGTCTGAACAAAAAATATAAATAGTTTTAATATTTTAAGAATGAAATAAAAAAATAAAATGATACCTCCAGCTTCATCTGTTTTGGCTTGGGCTGCGGCAAGCTTAGCTGATTCAGGTTGATTGCAGGTGATTTTAAGTTTTATACTGGCTGCCTGTAACAAGACATGACTGTACTGGTTTCTTTGCAGAATATATGACACATTTCTAATTTACAATAATATTAGTGTTGTGCTGTTTACTTTTTATTTTACTTCAGCAACTTTTAGTTTAAATATATGTACCTTCTCTATTTTATTTTACTTATGTTCACCTGCAAGGTAATTAGATGGTTATGGATGATGTGAATCTATGCACTGCAAGTTAACAAACTAAAATTCATAATGATGAGTTAGTTATTACTACTTTCTCTGGTCAAAGGTTATTAAAATGCTTAAAATGCAGGCAGACTGAAACAGGAATAAGAATCAAGCATTTTTTTCTCCCCCCATATTACAAGCAATTACAGCTGAGGGTTTCCAACAGGCAATTTGCTTCCTGCCCCAGCTCACTGCAACACCTGAAAGTCATCAGACTACCTACAGTCTCAAGCCATCTGCCAAACTTCTGGGTTAGCAAGCATGCACTTTACTATTAGACCATTTCATTTCCAAATATTACTACAATCCACAACTTGTTTCAAATAAGTTAAATTGTTATTGTAAAAATGAAATAATGGCAGCTATCTAAAAAAAATTTATTACATTTTAACCAATAGTTTTAATAGTTTAAACTGTTATTTTAAAGGCAATGACTTTTAAACAGATTTTAGAGGGTAAACAATTTTTAAAAAATATCTTGAATAAACCCATTATACTTACAGGCACAGGTCTTTTATTTGAATCAATAAGTTGAACAGTAAGTTCTCTAGTTCCCCCTTTGACGAATTCTCGTAACTGTAGTTTTGCCGTTCCAAGTTGCCTAGGAGACATAAAATTAGTTTTAAACTAGTTTATACATATTATGATATATAAATTATACAGGCTTTTTAAGCTGTGGGCAGATCTTTTAATAATATATAGCTTCTCACCAGATCTGTTTGTATACCAGACTGAATTTTTTTTCTGCCTAGAATTTCTGTTCACAATAATGCTGGGTTTTAAAATGTTTTTTTTTTAAATTTCCAATCACTTGTAATTTAAAAAAAAGAAGAGGTATTCATTGTGCACTTATTTGCTCTAGCAAATAGATCAAAACACCAAACAGTATCAAATGCCAGTCTTCTTATAGTAAAATGAATTTTGGTAAATTTAGCCCAAGGCATTGAAAACTATTTAATCAAATGGGTTTATTTTAATAATTTTAAAATCATTGTTATTTTATTGAAAACCTACTAAATATTTAACGATATGCTATAAACATTAAATGTGAAGGACACATGTCTTTAATTTGTGTCAATATAATAATAATAATTATTATTTTTAAAAAAGGGAGTTAAATGCTTGTATTTAACTTTGTAGTGTTTTCTCATTGTTACTTCCCTTTGCATGCGTAAGCCACGATTGCTCATTGCTACGGTTTAAAATGAAAGCACTGTTTTTAGTTTCCTGTATACAGAAAAATAACGGCTCACCTGTTTCTCCCCAATCTCTCCCAGTCAAACACTGTGATAAACAGCTCATCAACTGCTGTGACTCCATTACCAACCAGTTCAAATTCAAAAGTCTGCAAACAGAAACAACGAGCTGCTATTTAAAAACTGTTGAAATGTTGCCCAAATTTTGAGATATAAAAGAGAGACACGAGCTATGGGTGTGATTTAGACTGTCACCATGTTTTCAGAACAGAGACAATTAGCCTGTACAAATGGTTAAAAGAAGGGACAAAGTTTTTTCCATACCCCCTCCACCCTCTTTTTCCCGAGAATAGGCATAACAATAACATTTAGAGCCGTCGAAAATATGCTATTAAAAAAAGCCCTATTATCAACGGAAGCACAAATAAAATAGCCATCATTCTAGTATGATTGGGATTTTATTTTTCGTCATTCCTATTTTCTTTTTCATCAGGTGCAGCCAAGTTTAGTTAAGGCACATACTATTTATTTTTGATCATTTACTTTAGCAATGTTTGTACTCTGGGGCAGACAAAAATGTATGTAGAGACATTGAGGCAGACAAAATATAGACTTAAGCTCTCTTCACGTGACCTCCCAAAGGATGTAAACAAAAAATGTGACAAGGCCAGCGGTAAGACAGATTAGAGCACACAGTCTACACATCGTCACCTGTCACATGACTCATTCTGTCCCAACACTGCAGGCATTCACGCCTCGTTGCCCTAGCGAATGGTGCGCTAATATAGCAACTTGTTTCCTTCATGTCGTTGATGAACCTCAATCTTAGTCATGTGACACACTGATGTGGTAATATAATAAGTCAATGATAAACTTATTGTCCTAAAGACATCTCATATGAAACGGAAATGAAAGGCTTCACGTGCGGTCTAGCGTTGTCTGAGTACAGCTGACTGGTTATGCAGTAAATACAAGTGGTATCAGTAGCGTCACAGGGCGGGGTATGGGGAGGAGAGGGGTGCGGTCCGCACCCGGTGACAACGTTTGAGGTGACAATAAATCGACTTACGGTTAAAACAATGTTTAATTCGTGTAAAATAATAACATATTAGGGGTAGCGGGGAAACCAAACAGAAAATACAAATACCCCCAATTAAAGAAAGGGATGACACCAGACCTTAGTAACGACACTGAGTGTGCATATGGCATTATTTAGGCCTAGTTACTATAGGCATACAGAGTTTCTTCCAGGCATCTCTTCGGGGGGGGGGGGGGGGGGCTCTGCATTTCCCCTTCCCCCCGAAAAAAGTCTACCCCCCCCCCCCCGAACGAAATTAAATTTATATAGAAAATATATACTTTTAACAGTGTCCGCCCCCCCCCCCCCCCGAGCAAAAGTCTGGAAGAAACACTTCCTACAAACACGAACAAATAACAATAAACTTAAACTTGTATTAATTGGATGCTTGTGTCACACATACGATTAAACATCAGATTGCCTGAAAAAAAATCACAAGCGCTAACCTTGGAAAAAAACAAAACAAATGGGCAAACCCTATGGCAAATAAATATAAAAGTACAAAGGGATATGGATTAGACACACCTAACCAACAAACATCACCAGCGATGCATTAGACTGAGGTCCGCAAGGAAAGGGGAAAGAAGGTGGGCCAAAACAAAGCTGGAAAAGATCAGTTAGTGAAGCAGCCGGTATGTCATGGACCTTACGTAAAGGAGCCGCCCAAAAAAGAGTACGATGGAGAGGTGCGGTTGTGACCCGATGCTCAACAGTGTTCACATGAATGATAATAATAGGCCTACATAACAGATGGATTTACAATCATATATACTCTTTAAAAAATGTTTGTTTACCTAAGTAATATGTATAGTTTTTAGTTCTCTCATAAATAAGTTTGTTACATCATTATATGCGTTTCCTTTCTTAATTAATAGATCTGGTCTCGATAGTCTTAATACTCCTTTTTTCAAAACGTGTATACTACACTAATAGCACTTTTTACCATTGGTTTGGAATCACTTTAAGTAGTGAAGTTCCCCATACAGACCTAGCGACCCATGAAGTAGATGAAATTAAGTTCTAATATTTCTTGACCACGTAATACGAGGGGATGGTGTGGTCAGTTCTAGGCCCAGCCACCTTTACTTCCTCAGTGGTGTCGCTAGGTCGGGTGTCACCCGGGACGGCACTTCAAGGTGTCACCCCCCCCCCTCCCATCAAAGGAAGAAATAACAGGCTATATATAAATAATTGCAATTGATGACACATTCCTTCGATTTTGCCAAATGGTGTCATTTTGTGCACACATTATTTTAATACACCTACAAATTGTGGAGTTGGTGTCATGCACCCCCCCTAGAAATAGCTTTGAAGTGTTTACAGTTATTACTACCGATACCCATCTATCTATCTATCTATCTATCTATCTATCTATCTATCTATCTATCTATCTATCTATCAATCTGTCTGTCTGTCTGTCTGTCTGTCAGTCAGTCAGTCAGTCAGTCAGTCAGTCAGTCTACCTACCTACCTACCTACCTACCTACCTACCTACCTACCTACCTATCTATCTATCTATCTATCTATCTATCTATCTATCTATCTATCTATCTATCTATCTATCTATCTATCTATCTAACTATCTATCTATCTATCTATCTATCTATCTATCTATCTATCTATCTATCTATCTATCTATCTATCTATCTATCTATCTATCTATCTATCTATCTATCTATCTATCTATCTATCTATCTATCTATCTATCTATCTATCTATCTATCTATCTATCTATCAGTACCCCTATGTTAAGCGAGTGTTTAAAACATTGAAATGGGGGTCATAAATCTTATTTTGCATTACGACTTTTTATAATGCTAAATACGATTATTTTATAGTGTACGTAATTAGAAGCAAGTTTTGAGAGGTCTATTAGTATTAGTGACAGTTTAATGTTGGGGTGGGGGTTGTCCAAAGTGTTGCATGTGGACGCGGGAGGTGTATACAATTCTATTTGTGGACGTCATAAATGGGTGATCCCACATCTATACAGCAGTCTAATAAAAAAGCAACGCACTTCAATTCAACGCTTAGTTGTACTGGAATTCAGTAGCTGTTACAAGTTATCGGTGTGGACAGCCCCCCCCCCTCCTAAAAAAGCTGGGAGACAACTGCCATTATAACAAAGACTTCTAATACTTTTATACTTTCCATAGAAAAACCCCAACTGCTGGTGGCTTTTTCACTTTGAAAATAGTTATCACTTTCTTCTTGAATATTCCATAAATTTAGTCTAGATCTGACTAGTTCTTGAATAAATCGCCGTCCCAATTAAAAACAAGATAATCGTGTATCTTTACGTGGATTTGATCTCGCACTACAGCATACATCTGCATTACTGACAGGATAGAGAACAGTTTTTTCCAGGCATCTCTCGAAATGGAATTTATATAGAGAATATACACTTTTACCTGAATTTCCCCCCTTCCCCCCGAGAAAAAAGTCTGAAAGAAACAGTGATAGAGAAGTGTAGAGCGGATCGACTCAGGCTTGTTCTTATCAGTCGTCCCCCCCCCCACCCACCCATGAGACTGCTCACATTCGAGACCAAATGTTTTCGTAGACTATACTCAATACTGGGCCTAGTTCGATCTGTTATTACACCGAAAAGTTAGTCACTTATGTTTTTAGCTTGGCTCGCTCCATTCTATAAATACTGTTAATGGCATGGGTGGTCTTTTGGGTATTATATGCATAATGGTACTAACTACTATCAATCCGATTATGACGTTGTTGCAGTCTCAACGCGTGAAGCTACTCAGTGAACCATACACAATTAATTAGCATTGTGAAATAACTTCACAACGGTAGCCAGTAAATATTCCTGGTCATTTTCGCGTCGTGCACACAAGTATTATGGTGTTAACAATTTTATTATTGACCAGCGCAATCTGATCTATCAGCTGACTAATGAATGATGTACCGGAGTGGTTCGTGGGTCAGGCTACAGTAAAACACATCAAGGTAATCACACACGCGCCTAAAATGTAACTGTTCCATTTGGCTAGTAGTAGTAGGCTTATTTGCTTGACTTACAAACACTATAATGACATTTAATGATTTATTAACACAACAAACAAACGACTATAAACTATTTATTTGGCTCGTGTTTTACCAGGCTATGTTTCCGAATCGGGTCACTTGATATGTATACATCTTGAGATAGTTTAATCCGATCAACTATTGTGTTTTGAGATAACTCTATTGATTTTATAACCCTCTACAGATGTTCCTGACTTGCAAGTAATCCACCAAGATGATATTTAGTGTCCTTGCTCAAGACACAATTTATGTGTTTTCTTTAGAGACTTTGCCTTCTATAACGCATAATAACTTGAATTACTAAAAAAAAATCAGATTTACAAAGTAAAGATATGCACAGAAATATAGCTAGCAGAACGAGCACATTATTTGGTGTTATTTTGCAAAGACTTGATGGTGTGATAAAATAATGACAAGTCTGTTGTTTAGATACAATAGGCTTCTTCTAGTTCATAGTTCATAATTTGTTTTGTATCATGTCTTAAAATGGGAACTATAGGTCAGGGTAGTGTGAATAAAAGTTACAAGCAAAAAATTCTTCAAAGTTCTTAATAAAGTTAACTTAGACAAATATCTACACCAATATTAACTTGGGCATGTCGCTAGATCAACTTTAGCGCGACTACGTCGACACAGAATTTATCTATGTTTTTATCATATTTCCTGATACTGTTTGCTGAGAAAAGTATTTCCTCGGTTGACTACTTGAAATTGGTGTTTGATTTGTGTAGAGCTAACGGCCACAAGTAAACACATCTGCTTAAAGGATAAGCTTGTTACTGCTGTTAGGTAGCACAACTGTAGCGTTGAGAAATTTAAGGAATTAAGAGTTGAATCCCCGCAGTGTTTCTTCCAAACATTTTTGTCTGGGGGGGGGGGGGGGGATGGGAGAACAGAGAGACTTGAAATTATCGGGGAGGGGGGGCGACGGACTAAATTTTCTGTAGAAGGGGGGGGGGGAGGTAGACGTGTGTGTGTCCCGTCCCCTCCACCGAAGAGATTCCTGGAAGGAACACAAAATCCCTGGTA